CGTCGGCAACTGCCATGGAGAACAATAGATTTCGAGCTTCCAATGGGGGGGGCGGCTGCGCGTGAGTTCTGGAGGCCTAGAAATGGGCGCCAACACCACTGCATGGGGTTGCCTCCACATGGGGAAGATGATCCTAGATTTCGGCGCTGGTGGTAATAGTTTGGTCACCTTGGAAGCCAGAATATTACCACCATCGCCGAGATCGGGATATTCGTCCCTCGGTGGAGGCACGCAGCCGATCTTGGTGTTGGTGTCAACCTCGGCCTGCGAGAGTTCTCCCCCTTGGAAATTCACTTCGCTCGCTGCGCCACCAGCCAGCATCCTTGCCTTGTCTCCCTGTCCTCGAGCACTTGGCCGGAATACATGCCCCCGGCAATCCAGCGCGCGCGAACTCCAGGTCCACGTTGGTCCTGATTTTCCTGGAAGCATAAGAAAGGGGATGCCATCATCCTCCGGTTGAAATTAACGCAAGGCCATCTCCCGCCTCATTTCGCCCATGCACGATCGCATCATTTTCCATGCTCTCGTCTGGCTTGCCCCATTAAACTGAGCCACGAGCTCTGAAAGAACGCCGAAACGGATCATCAGGATTCATCTGGTTGGCTAGACCTTCAAGTTTAGCACGACAGAGTCGACCCGGATTTACCTCGGATTTCCTCGTTCTGCATCCGCTAGTCAACTCAATACGCCGACGCTGGCATGACAATTCCACGCTGGAGGCCCTTCCGATGCATGCGGTCACCTGTCATGGGCCGCGCTGGCTCCGTCGCGAAGCGCCCTCTCTTTTGCCTACTGCTTTCAATTCAGAACAACGCAGATCGCCATAATTTGTCTGCACGTCGCCGCGCTCCAACATTCTCTGCGTCGGCGACGCGGCCCAGCCTGGGGCCCCCGCGGAGCGTTCGGAGAGATGACGTCACTAAGTTCTCTCGGTCTCACATAATTCCAACGCAAACTTGAACTGTTTAACCACGTAACCAAGCACGTCCCTGGTCCTTTTCCGGCCCAAGTCTCTTCGAATTAAATGCCTGTAGCCTGCTGGAGGCAGCAGATATTGGACTTGCACTTAACAACAAGGCTGCGGCGCTCTTGACTTTGCTCGCATCGCCACGAAAGATCCCTGCTCGAATACGCTCTCATCTTCCGTCGCCACCACTAAGTTCCTCAATGTTATGCTTCCTCCCTAAGGTCGGCGCGGTAAACTGGAAGTAGTCGTTTTCTAATGAATCGTCGTCCACAGCACCGTTGTTTCGTGCTCGCGGCGGCTACAGGACCGCCCATCATTGTCTCGAACCAACGCTGCGCGATGCCCCTGCCCCGGACCATTTCGCGCGCAGAACCGAGTGCCATTCGAACATCGGACACTTGCATGGGCATGCCCACCATGGACCTCTTTCTGTATTTACACCCAACTACTCGCTGCCCTTGGCCCCTGATGACTGGCCCATCGGCGGCGCCGCTGCGTTTCCGATATTGGATGATCGCGCGGATTTAACTTGGAAGTGGCTTCCCGCGCTCGGCGGCCCAACGGCGTCGCAGGCCCCTGAGCCCACTGCGGCAACAATCGCCCCCGCGCCACTCTCCTACTCCTGATCTCGCACGGGCACTGCGTTGGCCTCCTGGTTGGGGCCTTCCAATCCTGCAAACTCTAGTTGCGCTTTCTTGCTCAACCAACTTTTCCCTGCTCGATGCACTCCGCGACTCGGTTGCCCAAGTCGAGACCGCGGCCGCAATTAACGCCGCATGCTTTCAGCGCGCACTTCTCTCGATCCCCATCTGCGCGTCCCGGTTTCTAATTTTTGCCCCCCGGCACTGGGGCCCCCCGCTCCCCTGGCCCTTGAACTGGCCCAGGTACTTCGACGCCGCCAATAACTCCCCCTCCGTAAACTAGCGGCCTCGCCCATTTCATCGCTGTCGCGCGCGCCCTGGTCCGCGCGCAGGTTGCAACGATATCTGCGCGGGCTTTGCTGGGCACCCCGCCCCCCTGGACCCGGGGCAACTTTGCTGGCGGGCTGCATCGCCGCGCTTGCAGCGCTCCCTCTCGCTGATAAATGCACATCCCCCCTTGCCTCCACCTGCCCACCCTGGGGCATCGGTCACCTGGGAACCTCCCAGGGCGCCCCCTCTGTGACCCCCTTGTTGCGGCCTCCCGGGCAACCGTGGGCACCTTGAGTTCCCCCTTTTGGGACCTCTGCGGGCGCGCCCCGGCAGCCCTCGGCCACTTCGCGTCACCCCGTTCCACCCCCTTATCCCGTCGCGGCAAATTTGGTGGCACAGTCCATGGCGATGCGCCAATATCTCCAGACATGTGACACATGGGCCCCCCCGCTGCCCTCCCCTTCGCCCACTTCGACGGCGATCCACTCTCCGCCCATGCCCTCCACGCCCCAAGTTCACAGGGCAACAATCCCGTCGCCATAACCAGCATAATCTACGCTGTCACGAACGTCTTCATCATTGGCTTGGTCGATTTCAATAGAGTAGTTGTTATTTGCGTCAGCATCCCATCTTTCCTCGCTGGCCCAATCTTCGCACTTGATGAAGAGTTGCTGGCAAGCGTCGAGGTTGCACGATTCGGTCGTCTTGAAGCAATTTTGCTGCCACTCGTCGAACCAAGCGTCCGCGTGGGCCATGGCGGTCCGCAACGCCGCACCCTGAACAGCAACGGCAACGACTACGCAGACACATGCTTCTCCAGAGACTTTGCCAACGCACTCCGCTGTTCGAACTAGGTCGGAACATCTTTCACCTTCCGCGGTTATCCGGGGGGTCCAGTGCCAGGTTCATCATGCGGGAGAGTGTGACTCCAGTAGTGAGAGAATGCCATGTGTATCCCTTCTGGTAGGCCATTAGACCGTCGCCCCCGCGAAGACCCTTGAGCTCTCCGCGGGGCTGCGTCCCGTCCAACTCGTTGACCAACAGATACAAGAGGTCTTCGTCCAATTTGTCGTAAGCGTCCTCGTCTTACCCATATTCCCCTTTCGCGTCGTATTTCTCTGTCTCTTGGTAAATGACGCCGTGGTATATTCGCTAAGGGTTAACCTCCTATGCAGCTATTTGTGTGAGATCATCCTCTTTGTCATCTGGTAGTGCCCCGGCCATGGTCTCAAGCTTGCTGTTCAAATACTCCGATGCTTCAAGTGGGCAAGCGCATTCAACAGCTTTTCGCCTCATTATCCGAATTTGGTCCACTCGCCCGAGAAAGTCTTTAATTGCTGAACCGCCTTCTACTCGCTCACGGGCTTGCTTCGACCTCCTCCAGCCCTGGTGTATCCAGCTGAGTGTATGGCCTCCAGGATACTGGTATAACATGCTCCGAGGCGTCCGCTTGGCGTTGGAGTTCCGCACAGACGTGTTCCTCCAAGTTGTTGAGGTGCTCATCGCAGTACACTTTGCGGCCGATGACCGACATTAAGAGGGCATGCATCTTGCAGTTCACATGCAGCATGGCGGACGCCTCGTCATTGTCCACTGTTCTGGTGCCTCGCGTAGCACGGCAATCGGAAAATAACCACATCCTTCCATGATGTGCCTTGAATGCCGCGTTAGCTTACCTGGAGCCCCCGTTTTCGCAACCGGCTTCACACAATTCCGCGAATCGGCGCGAGCTCAGATTGTACCACGGCTCTCGGGCCTCGGATGAAACCACGTCGAACCCTGTGTCTGCTGCACCGAAGTTCGGTGGAGCCGACGCGGCAGCCGCTGCGGTCATTGCAGGGAGGCGAATGCTTCGCGGGCTTGACTACGTGCACTGGAACTTGTGGGGCGAACCACGGGCCCCGCTGCCATGACAAATGTGGCAGGAGCCTTTTGTTTCCCCTGAAGGGGACTGCAGCTTGAGCCAAACATCGGCGGGGCGAACTCCGTACCACAATACGCGTACCTGCTGAACAAGTGAAGCCTTCCCACCCAGTCGTAACGCTATGGACCTCTATGATGTAAAACGTCCTCCCCCCCGTCACCCTCATCCTCCGCACACTCCATCAATCCTGTCCCGCTTCCTTCTCCACATCCCCATCACCATCATCACCAGCAGCTTCACCATCCTCATCACCAACACCACCATCACCAACGTCATCACCATAGCAAGTATCATCTTCATTACCACCATCACCTTCACCATCACCCTCACCATCATCACCATCATCATAATCATCACCCTCATCATCAGCAGCATCATCATCATCGTAATCAAAATAATAATAATAATCATCATCAGCATCATCATCATCATCATCAGCAGCAGCAGCAGCATCATAATCACCATCAGCATTACCATCACCATCATCATTAGAGCAACCACCAGCACCTCACCACCACCACCATCTTCATCACCATCAGCATCAGCATCATGAACATCATCCTCATCCCCGTCCGCAGCATCAACCTAATCATCAGCAGCAGCATCATCAGCAGCTTCAACATCATCATCCCTACCCCCATCACCATCACCACCACCACCATCATCATCACCATCAGCATCAGCAGCATCATCATCATCGGCAGCATCATCATCATCATCATCACCATTATCATCATCATTATCATCATCATCATCATCATCATCATCGTCGTCATCGCCATCATCATCATCACCATCTGCATCATCATCATCGTCATCATCGTCACTATCAGCATCATCAGCATCAGCATCATCATCGGCATTAGCATCAGCATCAGCATCAACATCAACATCATCGCCATCACCAACCATCACCATTACCACCACCATCACCGTCACCAGCATCGTCATAATCATCATCAGCAGAAGCAGCATCATGATGATGATGATCCTCATCATCACCATCAGCAGCAGCAGCAGCCGCATCAACATCATCATCATCACTATCATCATCACCATCACCACCACCACCATCACCATCATCATCATCATCAACATCAGCATTCGCATCATCAACATCAGCAGCATCATCATTGTCACCATTACCCCCCACTCCGTAACTCCGCCTCTCCCCGAGCAGCGCGTCTGAGCTGCGTGCAGAAAGCGACAGAAGACGCGCAGCGCCATCACGCGCACCACCAGGGGTGCTCCGGGCCCGAGACTGGCAGCTGCTGCCCCCAGGAGCTGTTGGACGTCACCTGGGACCTCAGCGTGTCAAGAAGATGGCAGCCTTGACGGTTTACGTTAGGGCGACGGCATTTGTGCATACATATACATATGTATATATGTATATAGATATAGATATAGATATAGATATATATATATATAGAGAGAGATGTATGTATATATATATATATGTATACATGTGTATATGCATATATGTATAAATTATACATATATATACATATATTACATAAATCCACCGTCGTTGGCCAGGCCCATCCTGGGCCCGGGAGCGGTGCGCATGCATGCAAGGCTTGGCCAGGGGAGCGCACACACCGCCCCTCTGCCTCGGGATGGGCCTGGCCCGCGGCATGGGACGTCTTGTCTGTGGATTCCCCGGCAGCATCCCGTGGCACGAATCCCCGCCCCTCCCGCCGGGGCTTCCCGCCGGGGCTTCCCGGGGGGCTCCGTACTGGGTGCACTGCAGGTGCCACCGACGACCCGGCAGAACCCCGTCTCCCCCCTGTGGTGCTGGGGCGCGGCGGCGCCATCCCCCATGGGGGCTCCGTACTGGGCGCGGCGGCGCCCTCCCCCCCCCCCCCCCTGTGGGGTGCTGGGGCGGGGGGCTGTTCCTGTGGAAGCGGAGGAGCTCTGGGAGGGTACGGGGGAGTGCCGAGCAGCGCGATGCGGAGGCATCCTACGGGGTGCGGGGGGGGGAAGTTTCAGGAAGCCCTCCTCCAGGGACCTTCAGAAACCTCCAGGGGCCTCCGGAGATCCCTGCATGGACGTTGTCCTCGTCGTTCGTCGTCGTCATCGTCGTCGTCGTCGGTCGTCGTCGTCCGTCGTCGTCCCTCATCGACGTCGTCGTCGTCGTCCGACGCCGTCGTCGTCGTTCGTCGTCGTCGTCGTTCGCCGTCGTCGTCGTCAACTAGTCGACGTCGTCGTCGTCAGCGTCAGCGTCGTCAGGTCGTCGTCACGTTGTCATCACGTCGTCGCCACGTTGACGTGTCGTCGTCGTTGCCGTCGTCGTCGTCATGTCGTCCTGGCGTCGACGTCGTGTCGTCCTCACGTCGTCGTCACATCGTCCTTACGTCGTCGTCACGTCGTCGTCACATCGTTGTCGCGTTGTCGTCGTCGTCACGTCGTCGTCACGTCGTCGTCGTCGTCGTCGTCGTCGCCGCCGCCGCCTTCGTCGTCGTCGTCGTCGGTCGTCGTCGTCGCATCGTCGTCGTCACGTCGTCGTCGTCGTCGTCACGTCGTCGTTGCCGTCGCCGTCGTCGTCACGTCGTCGTCGTCGCCAGGTGGTCGTCACGTCGTCGTCAAGTCGTTGCCACGTCGTCGTGACGTCATCGCTGCCGTCGTCGTCGTCATGTCGTCATCGCGTCGACGTCGTGTCGACCTCACGTCGTCGTCACATCGTCCTCACGTCGTCCTCACGTCGCCGTCGCATCGTCGTCGCCTTGTCGTCACGTCGTCGTCACGTCGTCGTCACGTCGTCGTCGCCGCCACCGCCGCCGCCGTCGTCGTCGGTCGTCGTCGTCGCATCGTCGTCGTCGTTGCCGTCGTCGGCGTCGTTGCCGTCGTCGGCGTCGTCGTCGTCACGTCGTTGCCACGTCGTCGTGTCGTCGTCGTCGTCGTCGTCGTCGTCGTCGTCGCCTTCGCCACCGCCGTCGCCCCCGCCGGCGCCGCCGCCGCCGCCGCAGTGCGCCCCCCAGCGCTCCCAAGCGCCCTATGGTTGCTCGCGCGCGCTCCCCGGGTGCTCCCAGCACGCCCTCGGCCTCTCGCCCCCGGCGGCATCCGCGGGGGGGGGCTCGCACCGGGCCGCACAGAGGCGGTGCGCCCTCAAGCTTTCCGTGCATCCCGGGCGGCTTCGTACCGGCCCGCACCGGCGGTGTCGGCGGTGCGTCCTGCCTAGATCGTCGGGCGAGTGTAAGTGCGGTAAGAGCGTTACATATCCGATGGAATCGTTTCAACGAAGATGTATGTAGGTTCATGCTAGTTGATCTCACATATTCAACATACATAAAATATCGAGCTTAGCATTCATCTACTTAACGCTTTGTTAGATAAGTATCTTCAACAACATACCATACATACTACTCACAGAACCATCCATCTTAGTAACTGAGCTATCGGGTACCACTGCCAAAATATAACGATACATACAACTCCCATGGGAGGTTTCGTGCATCCCGGGGGGCCCGCCGGGGGGGGTCGTTCCGCACCAGGCACCGCCGACATAGATCCCGTCGCCCCATGCTTGCTCGCAAGGTCAAGTGGCATTGCCTTCTCCCGGAACTGGATACGGCGATTGTTCATCTCCCCAGCGCCCAGGCTGTGCTTTGTTCACGGGCTGGTGGAACTAAACGCGATACTGCATTGCACGAAGCGTGAAGCACACGCCGCTCGAAAGAGATGCCCGCCGCTGAGGTGAGTAGTAGATCCACCAAGATGGCATCGCTCTGGTGCCCGCACGATGCGAATTACACTCATCAGGACAAGTGTGCGTGCGAAGCTGGGCAAGCCGAGCACCAAAACGCACGGCGCCCCTTGGTGATCGCGATGATGCGAGGCGTGACATGCATCCCCCCAGGTCGCTAGGCCTGGAGCCAGCGCCACAACCACGTCGCCAAGCCTTGCGGCAGCAAGCGGAGCGGATGGGGGGGGGGCGAGAAGGAGGAGGCGGGGGCATTTCTTGGAGGTCAGCAGATTGGGACGTGCCACCACCGGCAGAAGATGATCTTGGACGTTGGTGCTGGTAGCAACCTCTGGCCACCCAACAAGCACGAGCATGACCACCATCACTGACATCGGAATCATCTTCCATCAGTGAATGAAGCCGCCGACACTGGTTTTGGTGCCAACCTTTAGGCCTCCGAAACTCCTGGAGCGTGTCTTTATTTTCGGCGATAATGGGCATTATAGGGGGGGAGGGGAGAGGAGGAGCCAGGGGGGATATAATGTAACGCCTCCCCTCCGCCGTGCGTGCGGCGGCAGTGCCTGAAGCGCATTGGGGGGGGGGAGGGGCGTGACGTTTTTTGGGGAGGGGAGGGGTGGCCCGGGGGCTATAATGCCCATTCTGCCCCAAGCAATATGAAGGAACACGCTCGTACATGCGGGAGCCGCGAGATCAGCGGATCCCGCCCGCAGCAGCTCCCGCGGGGGGGGGGGGGGGGGGGGGGGGGCACGTCGGCGAGCACGCGGACCCGGCCGCCCGGGCCCCCGGAAGAGGAGTGCGCGGCAGCGGCGAGGCACGCGCTGGCCGGCACCGCGCCGCCCGGCGATGCCACCAGCTGGGCTGGCTCCCCTGACCTTCCAAGAGGGGGAAAAAAATAGCACCAGACGTAAAATCCTGTCCCAAAGCTATTCTACGTCTTGGTTTTAGGCTGTTTCGCTGTTTTTTAAGTTTTTAGGCCTCCAACGCTAAAAACTAGCTCTCTGGAAGGTCAGGGTCGTCGCGCATGCTCGACGACACTGCTGCTCGGCAGCGCAAAACAGCATGCAGCCCTGCGGCCTCCCCCCTTTCAGCCCAAAAACATCACCGCAGGCTGATTCACGACGTGGCTTCCAGGGAACCCGCCTCGCTGGGAACCTTCCACGGCAGGGAGCTCAGCTGAGACGAGGGCAAAGTGCGACGCGAGGCAGCGTGCACACACGCACGCGAATGCCAGCCCTGGGCTCATGCTGGCTGGACGCCGCTTGCACACACACACACACACACACACACTTTTTGATCTGCGGGGCGAGAGCGAACCTCTTCCGCAAAAAGCTAGGCGGGCTACGCACAGCTTTAATTAGGGAGACAGGCAAGTGCACACACACACACAGACTTGTTCCTCCGGCGCGCTGATGACGGCGGTCAGCGGGCAGTTGGCAGGCGGGGCGCACGCAGGCCACAGATCGAACCTTGAGTGGCAGCGCGGCAAGGAGGCAGGTCGATCAACGTCCCAGGACCGGCGCAGAGCAGCCTGGCGGAGCAAGCGAGGGGGAAAACGGCGGCGGGGCTGCAAGACACCCAGCCAAGCAGCGGGGCGACGAGGAGCAGGCACACTTTGCTTGGCGTCGCGGCCCCGCGCGAAGCGACGGAGCGGAGGCGATCGGGAAGCCAGAGTGAATAGAATAAGGATCATAGCACACAAGTAGGGAAGCAACAAATGACATAAACACAACAAAAAAACTCTGAGGTCCGCGCGGATTTCTCGGATCGGCGCTCGACCCCCCTCCCTGGCGAGCGGAGCGCGCCAGGGGCGGCGGCGCCGGAGGCGCCGCTAGGGGGCCCCAGCGCTGATCCGAGAAATCCGCGCGGGCCTCCGAGTTTTTATGTTTATGTCATTGTTCACTCCTCTAATAAAGCCACACACGCACACACACTTTCTAGCGGGGGAGCCATGTCACAGCCGCAGTCGCCATGTCGCAGCCGCTGAGATAAGCCCGACGGGCCTGCGCGCCGACAGACAGGCGGCGCATTTACACGATGACGTGAGGCGGCGAGGGCAGACTGCTTGCAATAAAAAGCTTCAACCCACAGAAGCATAATCGTGCAGGGCATGCAAGATGGTCACCCTGTTTGTGCAAGTACAGTTCTGTGAGCTGTGGAAAGATTGCACGCGAGATGCTGAACACGACTGACGTTTCATAGCCATGCAGTCCACGAGGTACAGGACGACGTCACGGCGGAACACCAGTGGAGGCAGAATTGGCACACCGCGGAGGAAGGAATGCAGTCCCGGGCCTCGTGCGGGACAGGCCCCCCAGGAGGCACCGAGGAAGGCCCCCCCAAGGCACCACAAGAGACCTCTCTTGGAGGAGTCTGAGGCCCAGTGGCGGGGTGTGCCAAAGGCCACTGGAATATCACTTGGCTGAGGAAGCTGGGTCGCAAACCGCAGATACCACCAGGTACCTCGAACAATCGAGGACGCCACAAAAGGATGTTGCAGATCTGAGCCCGTTGGAGACACACGCCGACACACACTGACTCACTTATCCCCCCCCAGCCACACACACACACTTTCCATCTGCTAGGAATGGAATGTCCATGCTCGTGTATCTATGTATGCTTGAGTCAACAAACATATCAATGAACCCACTTGGAGCATGTACATAGTTACACCTATGCATGCATACAAATACATGCACACACGTGTAACTAAAGGTATGCACATGCACATTTACAACCATAGCTTAACATATGTGTATGCAAATGTATGTACCTAGAAATATGTGTACACGTGCATATACTTGTATATGTATACGTGTGTGTACATGTGTACGTATGTACATAGGTGTACATGTAGGTGTACGTGTATGTGCATGTGTGGTTGTAAATCTATGTATATGTATAAGTGCATGCGCACGTGTGCGATCATCGAAGGGTGTTCATACGTGCCTGTGTATGTTTATGGATATGAATGTGCATACGCATATGTACATGTATCTATATGGTGATGTCTGTGTATGTGTATGAATATGCCCATGTGCATATACCAGTGTAGTTGCAATTAAACTAATAACACTGCATGCGAATATACAACTGTGTGAAGTATGAGTGTATGTATGTATGTATGTATGTATGTATGTATGTATGTGTACGTGCAAAGCGAGTGTACGTAATTACGTGAAGAAACGGATTTCGGTCGATGCAGGTGATACCGATGTCCCTTAGCAATTTCTGCAGGAAGCCGTGCGATGCGAATACCACAGTACACATATTGGGAATGATAGCACAATGTTATCCACAATGTGCACTCTATGTGGTGCTGAATATTTGGGGCGCACTGTTTTTGGTGCAACCCAGCAGGTGCATTGAAGTTTGGCCAACTCGTAAGTTGGTAACCCCACTGCTTGCGCAATCACCCCACCCTCCTACTCACAACTTGTTTTCCAAAACCCATGCGGGCGCGACTAAGGTGACTGCTTGGCCCTTGCTGGCGCATCTCTGCGGCCGCGCTGGCGCGCGAAAGCCGGCGCGCAAAGCTGCAAGCTGGTTTGGTACAACCGATGCGGCCGCAATGCGACCAGCACGTTTCAGATGCCTCGCTGGCGTGCGGGCACTTCAGCGCGGGTCGGTGATCCAAGCGGACGCGAAATAATGATGACGTCGACAGTGGCAACAGCGATGATGATGATAGTAGCGATGGTGGCGATGATGACGGTGACGACGGCAAGACCAATGACGGCGCCGATGCTGGTAACGACGATGACGATGATGATGTCCATGTGTTAGCAATGAAAATGATTGACTGGTGACTGCGACAATGGCAGCGATTGGCGATGATAGACCTGGCGGTGATGCGATGGCGCTGGTGCGGGCGATGATGACAAGGTGCGCGGGTTCAGAATCTGGCAGACTGTTTTGAAAAAACAATTGGCTCTTCATGTGGTTGAAGAGCTCCGTCTTGAACTGATTCGTAAACGAAAGGTTTTGGAAGGAGTTCGGCATGCGCCCCTGATGGCTTCGTGCACTGGGCCCATGCTAGATCAACGCAGATGCACCGCCTGATGAGATGGGACTGCAAGTTCTGGACGAGCTTGCTGAAATCACATGGTTTCCCGATGCTTCCAGCAAATGCGCGGGGCAGAATCTCTGCAAAATTCACGATACAGAACGTATGTATAATTAAAGCTGTTATGCTGAAGCGCTTGCAACGGACACTGGCAAAATGATCTCTTGAGATAACCGGGTGTGCGCGCATGGTTGCGAGTCGAAAAGGGTGAGGGGGATGTCGATACTCGGCTGGCTAGGACGGTATGCTTTCATATGTGTAGTAAGTTGCGGGAAATGACCATATGTAAGTTGCATTGTCCCGGAGCGGCTCGATAAGTCTGGCCTCGGGAGGGGGGTGGATCCTACTTTCTGTTACATGGAACAGGTGTGTGCAATGTAGGTTGTGCAATCTCTGTCGTGCAATTGATGGGGAGCGCAAGCTGTGTAGTGAAAGCACATGTGGTGCCATCTGCGTAATACAACATACGTGGTGCAAGCTATGTAGCGCAAAGTATTAGGTCCAGGCTTCAGGGTGCATTATGTGGTACAACCTGTGGACTGAAGTATATGCTGTGCAACCTTTGTGATGAAATGATCACGAGAAAGCACCATATTGTCGCGTCCCTGTTGTAGCGTTGCCGACTTGCGGCAGTCAGACACCCGTGTTTCGAGGGCGGCCAAGAGGGGGGTGTCCAAGAGGGGGGGTGCAAATCATGACCGGCGGCATGTGCGCGGCCCAGCGGGAGGGCCAGGGACGTAATGAAATAAGAAGAGGCGCCATGCAATCTGGGGAAATATCATGACCCCCGCCATGATATCCACCCCCCCCTAGTCATCACCCCCCTCTTTTCCGCCCCCGAGTGTTGGCGGGCAGGCTGTATGACCCCCGTCCCGGGATCCCTCGGGGGGAACCCTCGGGAGCCACACGGAGCTGCCGTGACCCCGTGCCGACCCCGTGACCCCAGCGGGGCTGTGCGACCCCGTGCCGGCCAGGACCGCCGCTCCAATACAACGCCCCTGCGACGCGAACGACACGGACGGCGCCACAGGTAGTGCAATACGCGTGGTGCACTCCGCGAGATGCAACGCTATGCTAGGGGAGCGAACAATGACCTGGATGGCATCGGTGCTGGACCCCCTCCCTGGCGCGCGGAGCGCGCCGGAGGCGGCGCTGGAGGCGCCGCCAGGGAGGTCCAGCGCGGATCCGAGAAATCCGCGCGGACGTCCGAGATGTTATGTTTATGTCAATGTTCGTTCCCCTATATTATAATAAAGGTCAGAGAGCCACACCCATAATAGCCACCCCGACACGCAAAGTCGTTTAGTAAACAAGCCCGAAGAAGGAATCAAACAGGGCAGAGCTGTTGAATAAACGCCCAAGGCCGTTCAGCAAACGCCAAATGTCGGGTCCGGGTGGTTTTTTTTTTTATATATGTGGCGCAACCAATGTCGAGCAACATCTGGTGCGCAGGAGGACTGTCTAGCTGCGCAGCGCGTGGACAGTTTTTGGTCGGCGGGTCGGGAGCGGGCCCCTTCCGGTCAAGAGCTAGGCGGGGCGCGCGAAGCACTAATTCGGGAGACAGGGCGCGGGTCAGCGCGTGGACAGTCAGGCTCAAACTGGGGTGGGAATCTGGAGAGCGGGATCTCTGGAGCACGAGGCGCCCCCCGCCCACGACGAGCGCACGCGGACAGAGACAACCCGGCGGACCCAGCCACAGTGCGGGCCCCTAAATAATGCCAGATGGTCCCCCTGGTGTGTTGCTGTGGGTGTGTGTGGGGTGACCCAATGTCCTCCCCCCCTCCCCCCCTGTGGGTGTGGTGTGGGTGTGCGTGTGGCTGTGATTGTGGCGTCATGCTGACGTGCTTTCGGAAAGCTCCTGGTGCTCGACGTCGTCGCCGCCGCCGCCGGTGCCGTCGACGTCGTCGTTGTCGTCGTCGTCGGTGTTGTCGTCGTCGTCGTCCGTCGTCGTCGTCGTCGTCGTCGTCGTCGTCGTCGTCGTCGTCGTCGTCGTCGTCGTCCGTCGTCGTTGTCCGTCCCGTCGTCCGTCGTCGTCGTCGTCGTCGTCGTCGTCGTCGTCCTCCTCCTCCCCTCCTCCTCCTCCTCCTCTCCTCCTCCTCCTCCTCCTCCTCCCTCCTCCTCCTCCTCCCCCTCCTCCTCCTCCCCCATCCATCTGGGGGGGGGGGGGGGCCCGAGGACCCTGGGACCCATCCCATCTGTGGGGGGGGGGGCCCGTGGGCCCAGAGCCCGCGATCAGATGTATACATATATATATATATATATACACACACTGCCACCACCTCCGTTCCTCACAAATCCTCTTCCCTCATCTTCCTATCCTTCTTCCTGGGGAAGGGGGAGCGAGGCGAGGCGAGGCGAGGCGAGGCGCCGGTCAGACGTCCGCGGGGGGGGACGGCCCCACGAGAGCCCGGCGGTGGCGCCGGAGCGCCGAGAAAAAAAGTGCGAGCCGAGGGGGAAGGAGGGAGGAGGGGGGCACTCAGGGGGAGGGAGGTGGTGGTGAGGGAGGCGGTGAGGGAGGAGGTCCTCCTCCTCCTCCTCCTCCTCCTCCTCCTCCTCCTTCCTCCTCCTCCTCCTCCTCCTCCTCCTCTCCTCCTCCTCCTCCTCCTCCTCCTCCTCCTCCTCCTCCTCCTCCTCCTATTCCTCCTCCTCCTCCTCCTCCTCCTCCTCCTCCTCCTCCTCCTCCTCCTCCTCCTCCTCCTCCTCCCTCCTCCCCCTCCTCGTGGTGTATCCGGCTGGGCCCACGAGGCGCCCACCGGGCAGAAGGCCCGGCCCGCGCACCGTGCACGCCCAGGAGGAGTCGCGGCCCCTGGGGCGCCCGCCAGGCGCGCAGGCCGAGCGGAGCTTTGGCGGAGTACCCAGGGTCAGGTCGGGCATGTCTAGAGTTAGGTCGGGCCTCTCCCCCTACAGGGGGATTTTCGACGAAAAATTGAAAATAATCATAAGAATTTCCTAAATTGCCTCAAAAAAAAAAACTCCTAACATAGGCCCCGGACTATTCTTTTACTCTTTTTGAATTTCTCCCTGTAGAGGGACAGGCCCGACCTAAGTCTAAAGTGCGAGGCGAGGATTCATCCATATCCACCGCTTGGGAAACGACGTCCTGGTGCCCCTGCGGGCGGTGGATATGGAGATATTCTGGCCCCCAGGGGCCCGAACATGTCCATATTCAACGCCTGCGAGGTCCCCGAAAATTGATCCTCCCGGCGGTGGTCACGTATAAATTCCCGCCTCGGACTAGAGGGGCCCAGGGACACACAAATCAACAAGCACAAAGGACAGGATTCCCCACATTTCCCCATATTGTCTGGGTCTCTGTCTTCCCCCCCACTTCCCATATTTTCCCATCTTTTCCTGGGAATCGACGATTCATTGTGTCTGTGTTTTTTCCCCTCCTGAATGTTCTCCTGCAGGGGGATTCCGGGAGACAAATATACAGTGGTTCAGACGTATTCAAACATGGTCAAACGATACGCAAAAAATCGTACCCGGACTATGTTTTGCCTGTTTTTGAATCTCCCTCCTGTAGAGGGACACGCCCGACTTAAAAACCCAGGGAGCACAATCAGAACCCCTTCGTGCAAGCCTCGGGGGCGCGCAAACATGGATTAGCGATCCATGGATGTGGCGAGCGGTCGCCAAATCCGTGGATCGGGGGAGGTGCCCTCTCAAAATTGGCCGGTACCGCCTCTCTCGGCGGCGGAAATCCGTTGCTAATCCACGCTCCTTTGATCCATTTCCTGCGATCGCCTGAAAGCCCTGTTTTGAAGGGGCCCTGGGACACACAAACAAATGTACACCAATCCCAGGATCCCCCAATAGTTTCCTATAGTCTCTGGGTTTTCGTCCTCCCCCCCACTTCCCATATTTTCCTGGGAGTCACCGATTACTTGTGTCTGTGTGTTATTCCCCTGCTGGAATCAGAACCCCTTCGTGCAAGCCCTGAGTGGGGGCGACGGATCAAAGGCGTGACATGGTGATGTCGAGAGAGCGAAAGCCGGAAGCCCAGACAATACATCAATCCTGAAGCAGCACAGACAGTGACAGACGGCGCCTGCGAAGCACAGCGAAGGCTCGCGCTCGAAGAAATTCTGGGGTGACCTGGGACAACCATGGCGATCTCTCTAATGCAAAATACTTCGCGCTCCATGGACCCATGAAGTTGATGAGAAGACTTATGTTGTCCCCATCCTACTTCAGGACCACATCCCAGAAATCATTTCGAACACCCGGAAAAGTGTCAAAAGAGTGTCGAAACAGTGTCGAAACAGTGTCGGGCGAGTGTCTCCCAGGGCCCGACACGAGGAAACCCTCGAGTTTCGGCACTTGTTTGGGCGCTCAAAATCCTTCCTGGTGATCGAGGCTAAAGTAGGTTGGAGCATCATAAGAGAAGACGATATCGCGACACAGAGAGACACGTTTGCACCTCCAGCGCTCACACAGGGGATACGAAGCATTCCTCATGAGAAAGACAAGTTCGCACGTTCAGCGCTCACCAAGGGGATACGAAGCATTCGCCCATTCAACCCCAGAACCTTGAGACGGAGGGGGAGCGGCAAACGAAAGGCAATCCCACTTTCGTAATGAACACGCCCGGCAACAAATGACAGTCCGAAACTGATCGACGCGCCCGACGCCCAGGTTCTAGATGTTCAAACATGGTCCGCAATCTTGCCAGATACATGATTCAGGAGGACGAGGCAGCCTGACCACCATCCCCAACAGCAGCACGGCAATCGTGAAAGAGAACGTCCCATCTTTTTGTTTTGTTCTATCTCTCTCTATATATAAGTATATCGTGCGTTCTCTCTTTCTCTCTCTCTCTCTCGACCTCTCTCTCTCTCTCTCTACCTCTCGTTCTCTCGCTCTCTCTCGTTCTATCTCGGTCTCTCGTTTTTTATTCTCTCTCTCTCTCTCGTTCTCTCCCTCCCCCTCCTCTCCCTCTGTGCCTGAGTCGTGCTACCGACCGCGCGAAGAGCTGGCCATGGCCGCCGCAGCTGCGGCGTGCTGAGCACGGGCAGCAGCCGGCAGCACCGTCTCGGGAGCGGCCCCCAAGGGGCGCCTCCCGATGCTTTCCGGACGGTGGGCCTGTCTTGAAGGGGCCCACAAACACACAAATAAATACACACAAATAACAGGATGCCCCTTATTTTCCCATATTTTCTGGATTTCTGTCTTCCCCCCCACTTCCCATAGTTTCCAATATTTTCCTGGGAGTCGACGATTAATTGTGTCTGTGTGTTTCTTTCCCTCCTGATGTCTGTGATGGCGGCGAGCCCAAGGGGGAAGTCCGAAGCGGCGGGCCCTTCTCAAAAGGCTCAGAATGCCGCCGGTCTTCTGAGAAATGTTCTAAGAAGACAAACTGCCTCTGGTCTCTCGGGGATCTTCTGACCCGGGTCAATCCAGACCCGGGCCAGTCAGTCCTTGCAAAATCCTGCAAGATCCTGCAAGATCCTGCACCCGAACCCGGGTCAACGCGAAGGATCCTGCAAAATCCTGCAAGATCCTGCGCACAAACCCGGGTCAATGCGACCCCGGCCCTGCAGTATCCTTCAGATCTGGCGCCCTGGCTGACCCCCGTTTGCATTGACCCTCATCTCTTGAGCCCTGAGTCTCCGAAGACAGAGTGCCTCTGGTCTCTCGGGGATCTTCTGACACGGGTCAATCCAGACCCGGGCCAGTCAGTCCTTGCAGAATCCTGCAAGATCCTGCAAGATCCTGCACCCGAACCCGGGCCAACGCGAAGGATCCTGCAAAATCCTGCAAGATCCTGCGCACAAACCCGGGTCAATGCGACCCCGGCCCTGCAGTATCCTTCAGATCTGGCGCCCTGGCTGACCCCCGTTTGCATTGACCCTCATCTCTTGAGCCCTGAGTCTCCGAAGACAGAATGCCGCCGGTCTCCGAAGACAGAAACGGCTTCTCAGAGGCCGGAGGGCTCCTGAGAAGCCCCGCCGCCTTCTGAGAAGGCCTGCCCCTCATAAATCGCCACCATCACCACCAAAACAATAAATCAACAACGTTATCAACACGGCCTCCCTCAGCATCGTCGTCCTCCTCATCCTCACCAACATCCTTACCAGCCTCATCCTCATCAACATCATGATCATGATCCTCAGCATGATCACCTCCATCATGATCATCGTCCTCAGACTATTCGCTCCTCTCCTCCGAACTCCTCCTTAGCACAAAATCATGTCACCATGTTCCCTGTTCCCTGCTCGCTCCCTCCTCGCGCCTCCCTCCCTTTCCCTCTCCTCCCCTCATCCTTTTTCCCCTCTCTCCCCGAGACCATATCCATCTCCCCTCCTGATGTCTCCCTGCTCCTCCTCCTCCTCCTCCTCCTCCACTCCTCCTCCTCCTCCTCCTCCCTCCTCCTCCTCCTCCTCCTCCTCCTCCTCCTCTCCTCCTCCTCCTCCTCCTCCTCCTCCTCCTCCTCCTCCTCTTCCTCCGCCTCCTCCTCTCCTCCTCCTCCTCGCCCTCCCGCCTCCTTCCTCCTGCCTCCCTCCTCCTCCTCTCTCCTACTCCTCCTCCTCATCCTCCTCCTCCTCCTCCTTCTCCGCCTCCTCCGCCTCCTCCCCCTCCTTGTCCTCCTCCTCGGAGGACGAGGGCGCAGAGGGCCCGCACCCAGGGCCCGAGCCGCGTCCGCACAGAGCCGCCCCGCCAAGCGCAGCAAGGCCGGCGTCACGGCCGCGAGGTCCCCGCGCTGCAGGGCCTGACGGTCGCAGGCGCGCCCCCGGCAAGGGCGGCGGGCGCTGGCGCACGGCCGCCGGCAGGGCGCCGGCGCCGGGCGCGGCGGCGAGCGCTGCGAGGCGGCGGAGGCGGGCCTCCGATCGCCGTCGTCGCCGTCGTCGCCGTCGCCGACGTCGCCGTCGCCGTCGTCGCCGTCGCCGTCGCCGTCGCCGTCGTCGTGGTCGTCGTTGGCGTCGGCGTCAGCGTCGGCGTCGGCGTCGGCGTCGGCGTCGGCGTCGTCGTCGTCGGCGAAGAGGAGGAGGAGGAGGAGGAGGAGGAGGAGGAGGAGGAGGAGGAGGAGGAGGAGCAGGAGGAGGAGAGAGGAGGAGAAGGAGGAGGAGGGGGGGAGGAGGGGGAGCAGAAGGAGGAGGAGGAGGAGGAGGAGGAGGAGGAGGGGAGGATAGGAGGAGGAGGAGGAGGAGGAGGAGGAGGAGGAGGAGAAGGAGGAGGAGGAGGAGGCGAGAGGAGAGGAGGAGAAGAGGAGGAGGGGGGGGAGGAGGAGGAGGAGGGGATGAGGAGGAGGAGGAGGAGGAGGAGGCGGAGGAGGAGAGGAGGAGAGGAGAGGAGGAGGAGGGAGGAGGAGGAGGAGGAGAGAGAGGAGGAGGAAGGAGGAGGAGGGGGGAGGGGGAGGAGGAGGAGGAGGAGGAGGAGAAGGAGGAGGAGGAGAGAGGAGGAGGAGGAGGAGAAGATTGGGATACAAGAAAAGGATGGGAGTGGTTTGTCTGGCGGAGGAGGAGGAGGAGGACTTGAAGTGATATGGCTTAAGGGGCGCCTGAACCCCATGTGATATGGCCTGCGGCCATCTCCACCCCAGGGTTGACAGGGGGACCTGCGTCACAGCAGGCCACCATAGGGGTGACAGGAATAAATGGACCTCCCCAGAGACCAAAAACGCCAGAACGCCATTCCTGGGACTTCAACACCGCGAATCAACGCAACTGTTGCACCCCCATGACCCTGAATCCTTCCTAAACACTACTTCTGGTACGCTGGCCATGGGAACCCATGAAACTCTTGCAAAGTTACAAATACGAATGTGCGCGGCGCTAAAATGAGAGCCACATGTTGAAAATGAACCGCCCTCAGTCCGCGAAACTCTTGCACATGTTTGAAACGAATGGTCGTAGCGTTAAGGCGAAAACAACATTTTGCAAACGGGCCACCCTGAATCCGTGAAGCTCTTACCAAGTTTTAGAACGAATGTGCGCGGCGCTAAGGCGAGAGCCACGTTTTGAAAAGGACCCGCCTTTCATCTGTGAAACTGTTGCCAACGTTGAAACTCCAGGGTCATACATGGTGAGGAAGTCGCAGGCGAAACGCCCGGCCCACCATAAAAACTTGCTTCGTGGTGCGACAGGGAGAAGTCAGTTATAAAGAGAAGGAATGGAGGAAGAGGAGGAGAAGAAGGAGGAGGCGGAGGAGGAGGAGAGGAGAGGGGAGAGGGAGGAGGAGGAGAGGAAGGAGGGGGAGGGGGGGGGGGAGAGGGGGGGGGAGGAGGAGGAAGATGAGAGGAAGGAGGAGGGAGGGAGGAGGAGGCGGATGAGGTAGAGGAGAGGGAGGAGGGGGAGGAGTAGGAGGAGGAGGAGAGGATGATAGGAGAGGAAGAGGAGGAGGATGAGAGGAGGTGAGAGTGAAGGAGGAAGAGAGGATGAGGAGGAGGAGGAGGAGGAGGGAATCGGGATTCAGAAGATGATTGGGATGCAAGATGCAGGGAGGAAGTGGATGGAGGAGGAGAGAGGAAGAGGAGAAAGGGCATGGAGGGAAACTGCAGAAGGAAAGAGATGGAAGTGGAGGGGGGAGGGAAAGGGGGGCCGCCGCTACGGACGTGCCTGCAAGACGCACCCTGTAACGCACCGTCAGGCGGCCGGGACTCCTACCTTCTAGATAAAGATACGCACTCTTGAAACATAAACGATCATCATCATCATCATCATCATCATCATCATCATC